AAATAAATAAATAAAATCTTTAAAAAAAAAAAAAAGATTTTGTTTATTTGAGAGAGAATGAGAGAGCATAAAAGCAGTGGGGAGGGGAAGAGGCAGAGGAAAAAAGCTGACTCCCCGCTGAGGAGGGAGCCGGACTCAGGGCTCGATCCCAGGACTCTGGGATCATGACCTGAGCCGAAGGCAGATGTTAACTGACTGAGCCACCCAGGTGCCCCTCATTAACATGTTTTTAACCTGGAGTCCATGAACTTGAATGGGAAAAAAATTACATCTCTACTTTTACTATCCTCCCGTTACGTAGCATTTCCTTCAGTTACAAACATAGGCAACAAACCGTAGCAGCATTCATTGATAACTGTGACTCTGTTAGCATTAGAAGTCCTAAATGTTTTCATATCAAATTGTAGTTGCAGATGTTTTAGAATATTCACACAGTAGTTCAAAATATGGTAGCTATTAAACCTACCTCTAAATCATGTGTGATTGCAGACTTCCTGTCTATAGCTTCTGGTACCAAATAACCATAGGCCTGGAAGCCAACACCCAACATTGTAGGTGTATGTTCTCACATTGGTGACATTGGTATTTGCATTACTTTCCACCATTCCCTATGTATGATTGATCTATAAATGGAAGGAACTGAGCCACAAGACCACCCCACAGGTTCTTAGGCAAGCTAAACAACAGCTGTCATACTCATCTTTATTAAAAAATTAACTTGCCTATATATATATACATATATATATATATTTTTTAAGTTTAAATATTCTCTACACCCAATGTGAGGTTCAAACTCACGACCCATGGGCGCAGTGGCGCGTGCCTGTAGTCCCAGCTACTCAGGAGGCTGAAGCAGGAGGACCGCTTGAGCCCAGGAGTTCTGGGCTGTAGTGCGCTATGCCAATCAGGTGTCCGCACTAAGTTTGGCATCAATATGGTGACCTCCCAGGAGCAGGGGTCCACCAGGTTGTCTATGGAGGGGTGAACCAGCCCAGTATGGAAACGGAGCAGATCAAACTCATGACCCAGAGATCAACAAGAGTCATAATAAGTTCTTCCCCCTGAGCCAGCCAGGTGCCCCTTGCCTGTATTTTATTTTTATTCATTTATTTTTTTGGCCCTTTGCCTATATTTTAAATATACTGCCTTGCTTAAAGTATATATTAAATTTTAAAAATATTTTGATAACATATCAGTATAATTGTTTCCCTTGTAGTCTTATGTATTTTATTTGTGCAATAAAAACATTGTGAGGAGTTCATAAACATCAACACACTACCAAATAGGAGTCCATGGCCCCCAAAAGGTTAAAAAAAACAGAATCCTATACCATGAGAAAATGAGTTTTCACCACTGTCCTATCCCATCCCAGGTATGGGTCCTGAGAGTTTTCTCCAACATTTCTCCTAAGAACTCCTGCTGCAAAGAAGGGGTTATTATCCAAAAGCGGCAGTTTGGATGAGGCTCAATACAACTTTGTGCGAGAGTGGAGAAGTATTCCTTCTGCTAGGTGGTCTATAGCTGATGACCCACAGAGTCCCCCTTTTGAAAGAGAAAACAATGGCTTACCTGGTTCCTTGGGCACAAGTGGCTTAAATATTTGATCTGTATCACTGGCTTGTCTTTCATGTAGTAAACAATCTCTTCTCTGTGGCACTGAGCAACTTGATGTACAATAAAGCCCCTCTGCAGATGACACTATAATGCCTTTCTCCCAAACCCAAGGCCTCCACTAGGTGGCCTCCCTGACTTCCGCTAGCTTTAGGCCTGTACTCTGCCCCCCACCAAACTCTCAGCTGAGGTCACCCTGTGAAACCTAGGACTCAAAAAAACATAGCTTGAAAATCACTGATTTATCATGATTTCTCACCTCAAATAGAAATACCTTTATTGTGGCAAATGATTATTTTAAAACCCAAATAATAAAAAGCTAAAAGTCAAAAATCTCTATCCCCTGTACAATTTACTTGTAACTTTCCAGTCTAATACTCAGAATCATGTATATTTATACATTGTATGTGCTGTATCCTATAACAAACTTTTTTCTCTTAACGTCAATTAATAGCATTCCATGTACATATATACATGTAGATTTCATCCTTTTCACCAGCTGCACAATATTTTCTTATATGTCAGTACCATAATTTAATCAAGTGCCATCAGTGAACACTTAAATAGTGAAAATCCTTATACATACAAATTTGTGTACTCATTCTTCCCAGCTTGAGATATACTTGACATATAACATTGTTTTTTAAGTTTAAGATGTACAGCAAGTAACAAAATACAGAACCAAAAGCAGACTGAACAAGTTAAGGAATTTATTATCTCATGTAACAAAAAGTCCAAAGAAAAAGCAGTTCCAGGATTGATTAATTCAGAAGCACAATTAAGGTGCTTTCTATCTGTGCATCCTGCTATCCTCAATATGATGGCTTTCATCTTTATGCTTATCCTCCCGGTTATCAGACGGAAGAGGAAATGACAGATGTACGAGATGAGCACTGACCCCAACCCAATGAGAAGATACGGTCCAATGAAAGTTGGTGTGCCTAATCCAGTTATCCACCCCTCTGCTCTTCGGAAATAGTAATTAGAGAATTAGAACCTTCACCAGCCCTTCCACACATGGGGAGAGAAGCTGAAGTTAAGACTAACAGGAGTAAGTATAAAATTCCTTCCTCAAATACCTAATATTCTTTGGCCCTGGAGTCACTGAATTCACATTTAAACTAATCTATATTACACCTTATTACATTAATGGAGCTCTCAAGGACTGAATTCTATTAAAGTAAAATTAAGGACTAAATTCTGTTAAAGTAAAATGAACTTTTTAAGCAATTTAGGCGGTTAGATAGGATGTATGTATCACACACACACATAATACACAATGTATATAATAAAATCCTTACAGGCATAAAAATTCTTAATAGAAATAAATTATAATAAAATAAAAATTGTTTAATTTAGTGTACTGTTTGCTTTTCTTAAATAACTAAAACAAATTCATAAAGCAAAACCAGAATTTGTTCATTTTTACAGAAATGATTCTGACTGATACATACTTTTCTTAATGCTAATTCATCAAACCCTGAATTTTGCTTCTCTATCTGTGGTTAAATACACACCACTATCAGCAAATAAGAACGTTTAAAATAAGGGTCCTACATCTTGGGGTTTAGTTATTTGAAATCAGGTTTTTCATTCTGAATAGTTACAGTAAAATCTATGTTATGATAGAATGTCTCTTTATCTGCTTTAAAAAGGTCTGTGTTAAATTAATAAACTACAACCTTACTCCTGCTTAAGAGTGCATCTTTCATTACATAAGTTAGCAAATAGCTTATATCAATACAAATGTCCAATAATATAATTAAATCGTTGCTACTTGAAATACTTTATACATGAATAATTTATCTCTTTACATTGTTGAAGCCTTGCCTTGCATTTCAGTATGTTTTATAGCTTCTGTATCATCACCTGAAATTTACCTAAAAAAGGAAAAAGGAAAAATCATTCCTTGATTTTTAGGTACAAGGAAAAAAAGCCTAAACATCAATTTTCTGTTGTATTAGAGAGTAGTTCCAATGAAGAAACTTGCTATGTCAAACATCTTTTCACACTTTTCATTCATAATACTCAATAAAGTCAATTTCATTTTTATGAGATGATTATTTGTTTTGTGAATAGGTGTCTTTGCTTCTCTTTGTGATTCCTACCTTTTGGGTATTTCACTGCCTATTATCATTGTGAATAGAAAGGAAATATAGTGAAGCTCAAGTCAATTTTATTCTTGGTTGGTAGCTTTGGTAAAAAGATCTTTGGAAAGGAGTTTAGCGATAAAAGACTAGTGGCTTTATCTAGCTTTATTCTAGAAAATTGTTTTTAAAAACATTTTCAATGCTATAGGGTAATTTGTTATCTTAAAAGAATAATGCAGAAATTTTTCCTTTAAAAGTTAAGAATCACCAGAGCACCTGGGTGGGGCAGTTGGTTGAGCATCTGACTCTTGGTTTCAGTTCACGTCGTGATCTTGGGGTCTTGGGATTGAACCCTGTGTCAGGATCCGCACCAAAGACAGAGTCCACTTGGGACTCCCTCCCTCTCCCTCTGCCCTCCCCCGCCCCTAGAATAAATAAATCTTTAAAAATAAATACATAGGGACACCTGGGTGGCTCAGCCAGTTAAGCATCTGCCTTTGGCTCAGGTCATGATCCCAGGGTCCTGAGATCGAGCCCGTATCAGGCTCCCTGCTCAGCAGGGAGTCTGCCTCTCCCTCTGCCTTTCCCCCTGGCTCGGCTCTGTCACTCACTCTCTCTTGCTCTCTCTCAAATAAATAAAAATAAATACATAAATATATAAAAGAATCACCACTTAAACTGTCTTATACATTTGGATTACTTTAGCACACTTTCTTAAATCACTGTCCATTATGAATTTAAAAATCTTTGAATATGAATAAAATATGCTACATATTACATTAAAAGTTAAAATTGATAAAAGTAAAACAAAATGGCTTTAGCATTTTAAATTTTCTTTAAATTAACAAAAACAAACAAAAAAACACCAGACTTGAAAAATAATCACTGAAAACATTTTTAAGAAATGTGAATTCAACTTACAGGCTGGCATTGAAGACACTTCAGCTGTGACAATACTTTTTATCCCCAAGTTTGATAAGCCACCTCTGATTAAGCCACACGTAAATGCTAAATACTGAAAGGGACAAAAATGTAAAGAATATTAAGGATTTACTAAGATAGCAATACTACTGATAAATATGACATTTAGTTAAGCCTTGCTATTAATAAGTCACTGCTGGGGCACCTGGATGGCTCAGTTAGTTAAGCAGCTGCCTTTAGCTCAGGTAATGATCTCAGGGTCCTGGGATTGAGCCCTGCATCAGTCTCCCTGCTCAGCAGGGAGTCTGCTTCTCCCTCTGCCCTTCACCCTGCTTGTGCTCTCTCTCTTACTCTCTCTCAAATAAATAAAAATAAAATAAAATACATAAATAAATAAAAGTTAAGAATCACAACCTAAGTTGTCTTATACACAAAACCCAGAAACACAGATATACTTAACACAAAACATGTATTCTTAGAAACAAATGCTAACAATATTAAAAAATTGTTTTTTTAATTAACTAAAGGAGATTGTAAATATAAACTCTGAGGTGAGTAATTTCGTACAACTAATGCCAGTTTTACAAGCTTGACTATCTTTTCTGATATATCTATGCTATATTCAGGAATCTAACATTAATTTACATTTCAATGGCATTTATTTATAGTGTTTCATTAGTCATCATAAGCCTATTCAGCTAGAGGTTAATATAGGTTATTTTAATATGATGAACACCTGTCTCCTATTTCATTGAAAAGAGCTTAAATAAAGGGGTGCCTGGGTGGCTCAGTCAGTTAAGCATCTGCCTTCCACTCAGGTCATGATCCACATCGGGCTCTGTGCTCAGCGGGGAGTGTGCTCTCAAATAAATAAAATATTTATTTATTTATTTGTCAGAGAGAGAGAGCACGAGCAGGGAGAATGGCAGGCAGAGGGTGAAGCAGGCTCCCCGCTGAGCAAGGAGCCAGTTTCAGGACTCGATCCCAGGACCCTGGGATCATGACCTGAGCCAAAGGCAGACGCTTAACCAACTGAGCCACTCAGGCATCCCAATACATAAAATCTTTAAAAAAAAAGAAAGAGGGCGCCTGGGTGGCTCAGACGGTTAAGCGTCTGCCTTCGGCTCAGGTCATGATCCCAGGGTCCTGGGATCGAGCCCCGCATCAGGCTCCCTGCTGCAGGGAGCCTGCTTCTCCCTCTGCCTGCCGCTTCCCCTGCTTATGCTCACTCTCTCTCTGATTAAAAAAAAAGAAAGAGGGCGCCTGGGTGGCTCAGTTGGTTAAGCGACTGCCTTCGGCTCAGGTCATGATCCCAGGGTCCTGGGATCGAGCCCCGCATCGGGCTCTCTGCTCCACAGGACGCCTGCTTCTCCCTCTCCCACTCCCCCTGCTTGTGTTCCCTCTCTTGCTGTCTCTCTCTCTCTGTCAAATAAAAAAAAAAGTGCTTAAACAAAAAAGAACAACTTTAAAACCTATTCTAAATTCAAAAGTCTGTTGTGGTTGGCATTGTGCTTTCCCTATGAAAACCCCCATCTTCTACTCCATTAAATACCTTAGATGCATGTTCTAAATACTGCTTTCCTGTAGACATCTGAGTAAGCAGACGGAATTTGTTGTCCTGAAGTACATAGATACCCTGTTTCAAAAACAGAAAAAACATCCAAATTCAGTGTAGTCTGTAGTCCTTAAAAATGATCTCTTCCCTTCAAAACAATTCAAGAGTTTTTTTAAGTTTTTAAAACTCTCCTTTCCACTGGTCAAATTTCTTTAAATGAAGGAATTTTGCAGTGTTCAAGCTGAAGAGTTGTTCAGAACTTTATAACACTAATATTTATTGAATGCTTTAAGATACTAAAGATATAAAGATGCATAAGATAGTTCCTACCCTTGGGGGCGCCTGGGTGACTTAGTCGTTAAGATAGTTCCTACCCTTAAAGAGCCCACAGTCTAGTGTAAAGGAATCAGAAATACATTTCCAGGTGGAATTAGCAGTTATATATTATTAGCTCATATCTAGAAAGCCAATAATCAGTCACTTCTTCCCATTAGCATTTCAATATTTACAAAGTAAAATATTGTTATATGAAAAAATGAAAGCTACTGGTAGCTACTAAATTATTTTCACTTTCTAATCCTTAATCAAAATGCCAAATCCACTCTAAATATTTCCTTGAGTTTTATAAAACAAATCTATTTAAATGCATAAATTTCCATGTAATCTATTAAACCTTATATTAACAAATTATTTTAAGAAGAGAAAAATGACATCAACTAAATATTGCAAGAGTTACTTAAGAGTTAAATATGCTCTATAAATTAAACTTTAGAAATTACTCTAAAGACAAATTATTTTTTTTAAGATTTTATTTATTTGACAGAGAGAGACACAGCGAGAGAGGGAACACAAGCAGGGAGAGTGGGAGAGGGAGAAGCAGGCTTCCCGCTGAGCAGAGAGCCCTATGTGGGGCTCGATCCCAGGACCCCGGGACCATGACCTGAGCTGAAGGCAGATGCTTAACAACTGAGCCACCCCGGCACCCTTCTAAAGACAAATGTGACATATTTGTGGTTCTGCAGAAAACCACCACCAAGTAATAATAACTAAGGAACCAAATCCTAAAACCTTTATCATTCTGACATTTGCTACTTTTTTAAAACCTAAGATAAGTTATTTAATTGGGGGAAAGAAACAGCTATCATTACCGATAATTGTCTTTTTTTTATTCACTATATCCTATTATAGAGAAAAGTAATGATGTATTAATAACATATAAAAGAAACATTTCAAAGTTGACTAGAAATTATTTAAAGTTTTATATAATAAATAAATGACTAAAATAGAATATTTATGTTAAGTTAAAAGACTTAAAAAATAGGCGTTAATTTGTCTAAATACCTGATGATTTGTCCTTAGATTGTCGATTTGTTTCTTGAATACTGTAGTCCAAAAATCTTTACAAATGAACTTCATGATATCTAACTCATCCTTGAACCTTGCAGTATCTTTTGTAAACCTAAAAAAACCAACTTAAATTAGTATTTTCCTCCAAAGAAAGCAGGAGGGTCATATTATTCACTAATTTTGAAATGCCAAAATAGCACTGAACATTTACTGACAGTCATAAAGTGATAAGCACCAAGCAAAGAAGATCCCATCTCAATTCACATTGTTATGTAATTATGGTGCTAAAATTAGTCTAACAGTAAGCTGCAATTTTAGGTACGATTCATTCTAGCACACTAAAAAGAAAATGCTGAGCATAATCATGGTATTGTTATATAAAACATAACCAGATTCAGTTATTCAGATAATGAGAAAGGAATACATTATGAATTGATCTATAAATTAGAAGATTACTAAATGCATGAACATAGACTCTAAAGCATTTCCATCCCTTGCATCTAAACAAAAATCCATTTACGTTAAAGAACCTCCTAGGCCTTAAGTAGAAAATGCAACAAGATTTTGGATAGTTGTTTCAGTACACCAAATTTTTTAGGAAAGAAGTCTAAAATACAAAATATACATATACATTTTCTTCAAATATTAAAACATGAAAGTTGGATAACGGAGTTAAAATAGCATCAGACCTAAAAACAAATTGTAATCTGTGAATTAAAGAACAGAGAATAAATAAAATTTAGGAATTAAAACTAAAGTATTTCAAATTTTATACAATCTTTTGAAATGGATCACCTTTGTTTATAACCTACCTGGAAGAAAATTTTCAAATCCATACTGCTCACCTTTCTATCAATCCTTGTCCCACTCGAAACCCCATGTTTTCCAGCTTAGTAATACAGCGTCCATTTTCCTATTTTAAAAAATATTAGTTTGGAATATTTTTAGAATGTGAGGATATTAATATTTAAAAAATTGTTTTAAGATGCTGACTAAAAATATTATGTAAGTGGTTACACTTTTTTCACTAAAACATTCTTTTTCTTTTTTTTAAGATTTTATTTATTTATTTGAGAGTGAGCAAGAGACAGCCTAAGGAGGGGGAGGGGCAGAGGGAGACCAAGAAGCAGACTCCCCTGCTGAGCAGGAAGCCTGCCACAGGGCTAGATCCCAGGACCCTGAGATCAAGACCTGAGCTAAAGGCAGACACTTAACCGACTGAGCCACCCAGGCACCCTTACTAAAGTATTCTAAGAAAAAGTGAATTACAATTTATATTTGAGTTTTCTTAGTACTAATCATTTCATAAGGCAATAAGGTAAACAGGGAACTGTTACTACTTTTCAGAAATGCCAATCCCTCTTCCTAATTACTCCCTCTAACCTTTCTTTTTTTTTCCCATTTTCAACTATTCTTCTCTCCTCAGTTATAAAAATGAAGTCAAAGTATCACCTTTCCATCAGTCATTCCCTTTGGGAAGTCATTAAATTCTATTGTTCCTTGCTTCAAAATGTCTCTTAGAGTCATCCAAGCTTTCCAGTTCTCAGTGTCTTAGTTGATGACCCCACCATCCTATGCCAGGAATCATGCAGTTGAGTTGGTTTGCTCTTTGACGATCTCATTCAGTCTTCAGACTTTAAATACTACTCATATGCTGAATCTACAAAGTCGTATATAATCCAGATTTCTCTGTCTCGCAGGCCTCAACCTTCTACTCTTTTTCATTCACATGGGCTCTAGCTATACTAGTCTTGCTGTTCTTAAACATGCCAGGCATGCTCCAATCTCAAGTCTCCTGCACAGGCAGCTCTTCCTCCAGATATCCACATAACCAACTCCCTTGCTTCAAGTCTTTACTCACATGTCACATGCCCATTTTTTTTTTTTCAGGTATACAATATAATCATTCAACAATTCTATAGATTATTCAGTGCTCATCACAGTTTAAGTATATTCTTAATCACCTTTATCTATTTCACGCATCACTCTACCCACCCGCATCAGTGAGGCTCACTTTAACGATCTTCTTTAAAACTGCAACATTATTCCCCTTCAGAAATTCTCCGTTCTGGTGATTCTCAAAGTGTGCCCCAAGACCAGTAACATTAGCATCATGTATGAACTTGTAAAAACTGCAAATTCTGAAACCCAATTTACTGAATCAGAAACTGTAGGTGTGGGGTTAGTAATCTGTGTTTTAAGGAGCCCTCTAAAAGTAGGGTGCCTGGCTGGCTCAGTGGGTAGAGCATGCAACTCTTGATCTCTGGGTTGTAAATTCAAGCCCCACGTTGGGTGTAGAGATTACTTAAAAATAAAGTAAAAAAAAAAAAAAGCCCTCTAAAATGATTCTGATGCCCTATCCCATTTCCCTGCTTAATTAGTCTCCAAAGAACTTCTTTCACCATTTAACATACAATATACATTTTACTAATTTCACATCCCCAACCTCTGCTAGAATACAGCTCCAAAATGGCAGGGATATTTATATATTCTGAAGCTTGTTAGTCTCCACTAAGTATATCATAGACCTCATTATTTGCTGAACTTTCTTCTAAGGAACCATGTATTCTACTAATAAGGTTGTGACTACTAAATCTGTACTTTTATACTACAGAGTTTATTGGACATAGCTATAGAGAGGTCCCACAGCCTCCTCAAATAAGGCACATTCAAAATGATATTCGGGGCACCTGGCTACTCAGTCAGAAGAGCATGCAACTAGATCCCAGGGTTGTAAGTCTGAGCCCCACACTGGGTGTAGCGATTACTTAAAAATAAAATCTTTAAAAAAATTAAATGAGGGGCGCCTGGGTGGCTCAGTCAATTAAGCAACCAACTCTTGGTTTCGGCTCAGGTTGTGGTCTCAGGGTTTTGGGATCGATCCCTGCATTTGGTTGGATGCTCAGCACGAAGTCGGCTTGAGATTTTCTCCCTCTACCTGCCCCCACCCTGGCTCCCACAGGTCCGTGTGTGGCACTCTCTAGCTCTCTCAAAAATAAATAAATAAAATCTTTTTTAAAAAAGTTATTATCTTAATTTCCTCAGCCTGTGCTGCCTCTAAAATTCCCTAAATTCATTAATGGCACCACCATCCACCCAGTAACCCCAACCAGAAAACTTCCATTTTCTTCACCTCTTTACTCCCAATCCTCCACACGCATTGCAGTCCTATGGAGCCTATCGTCTATATGTTTTCAAAATTTATCTTCTCTCTCCATCCTTACTACTTAAGTTAGCCCTTCTCATTTCTCTCCTGGTTTTCAGTCAGAGCTTTCCAAATGATCTCCTTTTGTCTAGTTTTTTCCTCCTTTGATTTCTGTCTTCGGTATTTCTGGTACAGACTTTCTAAAAACCAAATCATGTTCTCTACTGAACCTTTCAGCACCCTCTCCCCTTTCTTCAAAATAAAGATCAAACTCCTTAGCATGGCATTATGTGCCTTTCCTTAAATGATCCTGGCTAGTTAACCAGATTCACCTAACAGCCACATATCCACAAACATCTCTCCTTCTACCACTCTGAAATTTCTGCAACAACTCCAGAGTTCCATGCTTTCTTCAGCCATGCCACATACGGTATATGGAATACCACATGCTGTTCCATACATTGTATAGCTTTTTTATTTTTTTAAGATTTTATTTATTTATTTGAAAAAGAGCATGAGCAAGGGGAGAGGAAGAGGGAGAAGCAGACTCACCACTGAGCTGGATGCGGGACCCAATCCCAGGACCCTGAGATCATGACCTGAGCCAAAGGCAGACACATAACCGACTGAGCCACCCCGGTGCACCTCTATTTTTAAAGATTTATTTATTTGAGAGAGCGAGCGTGTGTGTGCAGTGGGGAGAGGGAAAGGAACAGAGAGAATCTCAAGCAGACGCCCCAATGAGCATGGAGCCTGAGAAGGGGCTCGATCTCAGAACCCTGAGATCATGACCTGAGCCAAAACCAAGAGTTCGAAACCCAACAAACTGAGCCACCCAATAGACTGTATATCCTTTAAATTCAGCCTAAGTATCATATCCTCCCAAAAGCCTTCCTTCACACTCCTTTAGGCCCCATGCTGTCATAACACTCTGCACATAAATCTATTATTGTACTTACCACAATCATTCGTTTTTCTGTTATTCTCCAGCTCACTTCAAAACATGCTCAGGTGGAAAAAAAAAAATGCTCAGGTGGAATAAGTAACCTGTCAGCCTTTGTGGGACAATCTGGTCTTTGTAGAATCAGCCAGGAGTATGTTGATAAGCAGGAAATATGATTATATGTAGACATCCTCAAATCCTAACTATTGATCACATGAGCTTTTGAATTATGCTCTAGTAAATACCTTCTGATGTTGCTATTTGTTCATTCACTTTGGTATATGTGAATATTAATGAGTGGGTACCAAATTTTTAAGAAAAATTAAACTTGAGGATATTTTATCTATTAACTAAAAATCTATTCTCCATAAATTGGTAAATGCCCAATTATTCAGTTTTTAAAGATTTAATTCCTCCTTAAGCATAGTTTGAAAATCATTGATTTGGAGGGTGAGAACACTGGTTCTTTCCTTTATTTCACTTCAAAACTTATGACCATTTCTTAAAAGATATATAAAAATGATTGCTTAATGTCAGGCTTATGTGTCATTCTTTTACATTTTTTTATTATGACAAATCTGAAGTACACTTAAAGTAGAGACACTAATACAACGAACCCTCATATACCTAGATTCCAAAATGAATTCTAATCAACACCGCCACATTAACTTTTTAAAATCCTTTTTGCTTATATGCACTTTCAATTCCCCACTGTAAACAAAGTGCAATAAGAAAAAAAATATATTTTTATTTAGTTTTAAATATTTATTTTTAAGTAATCTCTACACCCAGGGTGGAGCTCAAACTTACAACCCAAAGATCAAGAGTCTCATGCTCAGTTGGGGCACCTGGGCGGCGCAGTAGGTTAAGCGCCCGACTCTTGGTTTCAGCCCAGGTTGTGATCTCAGGGTTGTGGGATCACACTCAGCATGGAATCTGCTTGAGTTTCCCTCTCTCTCTCCCTCTGCAACCCCTCCCCCCCACTCTTGTGCTCTCTCTCTCAAAGAAATAAACAAATCTTTAAAAAAGTAAGAGTCGCATGCTCTACCCACTGAGCCAGCCAGGCACCCCAAAATTACTATTTTTTTAAAAGATTTTATTTATTTATTTGACAGCAGGAGAGAGAGCAAGAGAGAACACAAGCAGGGGGAGCAGCAGAGGGAGAAGGAGAAGCAGGCTCCCCACCGACTGAACCACCCAGGTGCCCCCCAAAAGTTCTTTTTAGATTAAATGATTCAAAACTTACAGCTTTCCTTTCCCTTATATGACAAGCACATCTCTTAATATTATCAGTCATGATTACAATAGCTCTGTTTTATTTTGGTTAATCCACTGGAAAAAAGAGGAATTAAAAAAAGATTTCCAGGCTAAAAGTTGAAAGAGGGAAAGTAGAGAGAGAGGAATAAAAAGAACTGATTGCACACATGATGTTGAGGGAGCAGGGGTTTAATGATAAAAGAGTAAAAGAGGTGTGTTGCTCATTATTCTTTGGGAAGAGGGTAAAAGGAAGGCTAACTTTGCTTAAACAGTAAACGTCTGCTACTCATCACTTAGCATAGATGCTAAACATTAATAACTATTGGTTGTTGATGATAATGAAGTCAAAAGTGTGTAACTTGGAAAAAATCTCTATTACAGATGGGTCTGAATAAGAATAGATCTGCTTCATTTCCAATACTCTTCCCAGTATCTAATATCTCCAAATGCATCATGCTTTTCTGCCATAGACTGAATGTGTCCCCCCCAAAATTCCTATTTTGAAATCCTAACCCCCAATGTGATAGTATTAAATAGGGGCCTTGGGAGGTGATTCTGTCATGAGGATAGAGCTGTTAAGAACAGAATTAATGCCACTATAAAAGAGATCCCAGAGAGCTAGCTAGCCCCCTTCCACCATGTGAACATACAGCCAAAAGACATCCATCTATGAACCAGGCAAAGGCCTTCATCAGACCAGAATTTGCTGGTGCCTTGATCTTGGACTCTTCAGCCTTCACAATTGTGAGAAATAAAGTCACCCACTCTACGGTGTTTTGTTATAGCAGCCTGAATAGACTAATACACTATCCTTCTTGTGCTTTACACATGAGCAGTACCTTTCCCAGATTCCTACAGACACCTAAGAAATTCAACCTGTTCAAAATAATTCATTCTTTAAACTTTTTAAAGATTTTATTTGAGAGAGAGAGTGCGCACACGCACGAGCAGGGGAGGGCCAGAGGGAGACAGAGAGAAGCAGACTCCCCACTGAGCAGGGAGCCCAATTCAGGATTCGACCCTGGGATCATGACCTGAGCCGAAGGCAGACGCTTAACCAGCTGAGCCACCCAGGTGCCCCAAAATAATCCATTCTTTATCTCTTTCTTTTATTTCCTCTCCATCCAGGACAGCTGCTCAAGTTAAAAACCTGGGGATAATTTTCAATTCTCAATCCTATACCTAACCAAGTCCTAGAAATTCTACCTCCTAACTTTCAAACCATTCTCTCCTTTTCTGTCTTAATTCAGATCTTCATCATCTCCTGCCGACTCCTGAAATAATGAATCTTCTCACTACAAGGATCTTCTCTCACCAACCCAAACACTGGATTATCTTTCTAAAATGCAAATCGACCACATCATTCTGATCTTTAAAATTCTCCACTGGGGCACATGGGTGGGCTCAGTCGGGTTAAGTGTCCAACTCTCGATTTTGGCTCAGGTCAAGATCTTGGGATTGTGAGACAGCCCCACATAGGGCTCTGCACTGAGTGTGGGGCCTGCTTAAGATTCTCTCTCCCTCGGGGCGCCTGGGTGGCTCAGTCGTTAAGCGTCTGCCTTCGGCTCAGGTCATGATCCCAGGGTCCTGGGATCGAGCCCCGCATCGGGCT